CATGTGTCTTAGTATGGCTTGATAACCGCCCAACATCGCGTCGATGTTGGGCGGTTATCAAGCTCGGTAGAAACAACTTTAAGAAAGATACCACCAGGATGATAATTAGGATGACAGTAAACTGGTCTCATCAGCCCGAGGACCGATGGCCATTGAAGCAAACGTGTCCTAGAATGGAGACCGCGAATCGGTAAACAAAAGTTAGGAAGCCTTTTAGCTAGATGGACTGACATCTGGAATACATTGGATGCGAAAGGCGGCAAGCACAATGTTATCATCAAACTCATTGGAAAATAATTTGGCTAGCAGTAAACTGCAATAGGTTAATTGATAATTATATTTTAATCAAATATTTATATAAATTATTTTATATCTTTTGAGACAATAAAAAACAGTAAACTTTTATAAAAAGTTTAAAGAATGAATTCTTTAACGTGTTGAAATTTTCTTTCATATACGAGGGGTGATCAATAAGTAATGATAATCGAGTATTTCTAGAACGCACAAAAACCCAAATTATTTTTTTTCTGCTTGCTTATATATCCACTACTTCAGCTTCAAAAAAATGTATAAATAGGACACCATTACCGGGAGATACATTCATTTGAATACGAACTGTCGAAGAGAAAACATCAAAATGGAGAAAAATGAAATAAGAGCTGTCATCAAGTACCTCTGCCTGAAAAAAATGTCTACCAAAGACATACACAGCGACTTAGAGGAAACATTGGGGGAGTCTGCTCCTCCATATTCCACAATCGCACGCTGGGCAAAGGAATTTAAGCTGGGCAGAACCTCCACTGAAGATGAACATCGCGAGGGACGCCCTTCCACGTCCCTTACTGGAGAAAACGTCAAAAAAGTGGAAGATATCGTGTTGGCCGATCGAAGGGTGACCGTAAGGCTGTAGCTGAGGTCACAGGGATCTCCTATGGCAGCGTTCAAAAAATCATTGTCAACAAAATGCATATGAAAAAGGTCTCTGCGCGTTGGGTACCGAGAATGTTAACCGACGAGCAAAAAAAAAAAACGAGTCGACATTTCGAGGGTGAATCTTCAAAAGTTCCAGGCCGATAAAGAATTTTTTTTGTCGCGTTTTGTGACCATGGACGAGACCTGGATCCACCACTTTGATCCTGAAACCAAACAACAATCAATGACTTGGAAACGAGCTTCCTCACCAACGCCGAAGAAATTCAAAGTGTCAAGTTCAGCGGGAAAGGTTATGGCGTCTGTTTTCTGGGATGCAGAAGGAATTATTATGGTGGAATATTTGGAAAAGGGGGCCACTATAACAAGCTCTTACTACGCAGGCCAAATAAGAACATTGCGAGAAGCTATTAAGTCAAAAAGACGCGGTAAACTGCGCGCTGGAGTGCTGTTTTACCAAGACAATGCCCCGGCTCACAAAGCCGCAGTTGCGATGGCTGCCATTGAAGAAACGGGGTTCGAACTGCTCGAACACCCTCCCTATTCGCCAGATCTAGCTCCCAGTGACTTCTACCTCTTTCCTCGGCTCAAAGAACACCTCCGGGGCAACAAATTTGAGGACAATAGTGAAGTGATGGCCGCAGTAGAGGCATTTTGGGAGGGTCAAGACAAAGAATTTTTTTCTAAGGGAATCATGGGCTTAGAAAAAAGATACACTAAATGTATTAACTTGCAAGGAGACTATGTTGAAAAATAAAATACTTTTTTTAATCTAATAGTTCTGTTTCATATTGATTATCATTACTTATTGATCACCCCTTGTATTGCTGGAAACCCCGAAGGCACAGTTAGAATGGAGTCCCTAGGTCCCTAGGAGATAATTAAATCCCTATACTCAGGTCTACAGTCCCCATAAGTGGTGAAAAATCAAACTTCTAAGTTAGTTTTATCCCGTAAGAACGCATTTTTCGACACTCTCAAGGGAATCAAAATTCATAGTAATATGTACCTCCAAATATGTACGGAACCATCGGTGGACAAGTCCGACTCGCACTTGTCTGGACCTTTGTATTAATATTTTTAAAATTTATTAAAGAAAATTTTGTTTGCTTGTATTTATTGTACCCACACACGTATTTAATTCATAAGTCTGATGTTCTTAAATTGAGGTTGTTTTAAAGTTACATATAAAGAAATTACTGTATATTATATGTTACTTATAACTACAGTGTATGATTGGTTTTAATTACAATACTTTAATTATAATTATTTAAAAAACAGTAAAGATTAGTTGTAAACATTAAAGTTTAAGATGTTTCAATTGAACTGGAATGAGTTGATAAGATTTTTAATAAATAATACCAAAGTATATACTTAAGTTAAAGCTGTAATCAAATTTACCTGGATCTCTATTAGGATAAATCAATTTCAAAATTGATTAGAGTGATGATAATCATTATTAGACATATCAAGTTCTGTGTATATAATACTTATAGTTATATATCCAACTATATAATTTTACTACTTTCTAAGGAGAGGCCTATGTCCAGCAGGGGCCTACTAAAGGCTGTTGATGATGATACAACCATATACTTAGTCTCGCCATAAGTACGGTTACAATTAAATAAAACATAATATTACATTTAAAATTTGGAATCTGTCAGCTATACTAATATTATATAGAGGTAAAGTTTGTGAGTTTGTATGTTCGGGGTAATCAGCGGTACTACTGTTCCATTTTGAAAATTGTTTCATTGTTAGAAAGGTATATTATCCCTGAAAGTACTTTTTACCGCAATAACCGACATACAAATGGCAAAAGTTAGTTCTTAATATATATTCAAGAATATTTATATCATAGTATTTTCTTATTTTCGTTACCAATTGGTGTTAAATATTTTTGTAATATTAACAGTTTTTTTGCTGTGGTAGCAATAAACAAAGTAACTAACTGCCTCAGTCGGTATCGGAATCGGAAATTATTATAATTATTTAGCTAAAATATTATCGTAGATCTAAAATCATAATACAAACTATGCCTAATCGTAATAGGTATTCCTCCATAAAACTTAAACCCTTCTTTTTTCCTATTTTGACAAACTTTTGGTTTGTTCCATTCGATTTTGACAAATTTTTGGCGCAGTTTTTTCTGTTTCGATAACGTGGCATGGCAATATAACGCACACCCTAACTGCCTAGGCCAGTATCGGAATCCTAGGCATGGACATATCGAGCGAAGTCAAGTTTCGGGGTCACTTAGAGGGTAAGATCAAATTGGCCTCGAAAAACTTCGGCGTGTTGAACAGATCAAGGCAGTATTTTAGGCACAACCAACCTGTGGAGCAAGCTATCGTTTGTTGTATTGTTCGTTTATCTATTTCCGGACCGATAGGACCTTCAAACCTTCAAGAAAAGAGCTTACTCCTACCTCAAAGGGCGACAACGCGCTTGTGACTCCTGAGTTGCAGGCGTTCATGAGCGGCGGTAGTCGCTTTCCATCAGGAGACCCGTCTGCTCGTTTGTCCCCTGTTCCATAAAAAAATAAAGTAAGGATGGAGCCAAGTGCAATTTTTGATTCTCTCCATCCGCTGGTATTAGTTAAAGTTTTGTGTACCGGGCTATTGATAGACACGATGTAACCTCTATTTGTGACAGAATAAGATCAGGCCGTTCACGTAGTATTCGTACGAAAAGGCGATCAAATCAGTGAAGGGAAGAATTCGAAGAAATCCTGTACGAAAGTAAAAGAATTTATCTCTGGAAATGAATGTAGCATCTAGAATCCAGAACTTGCAGCCTATATGAGACACAGAAGGCCAATTCTTGTTATAAAAGTTTGATCAAAATTCAGTTCGTTCGATCTCGCAACACGCAACTCTCGCAGGTCTCGATTTCGCAACTGTCATAAAAATGTAGGTACATATTTTCTTAGTAAAATAGTAAAACATTACTAAGACTAGCAGAATATAAATTCAATTTTTGGTCACAATAAGATATTAACACATTACTGTCGTTCGTCTAACGTTGGATGTTTAATACTTAAATATATCTTTTGTGACAGTTGTGAGATCGAAACTGAATTTTGACCGAACTTTTACAACGAGTGTGGGCTTTCTGATAAATTACTTTATTCATTTTAAACTGATAATTTAAAATGAATAAGGTGGTAAAATCAAAACAACTCAAACAGCGCGCAAAGTCAGGTCACAGACAAAAAATATTTACATCATAAATTTTTACTATTGTGCAATATTTGAACAAAGCAACAACGACGGAGTGTGTGCTCTAAGTTCTATAGAAGCTTCCTAATTAGTCAGTAGAGTACAAGGTGGGCATTATACGACTTCAGTGATGGTTTGGTTGAATGTTCGTTATCAAAAAGTGACCAAGCCATATTTTTGTGAAAAAGGTGTCAAAACATCTTCAAAGTGTACCAAGATACGATTTTTGAGAAGGTGGTTAAGCTGTTTAACAACACCATGTTTCATGACCAAGAATGATCCTTTCAGCAAGACCGACCGACCGGATCCTAAAGCTCGACTCACCTAAGCGTTGTTAGAAACAAACGTTTCTGACTTCATCAGAGCTGAAGACTGGCCGTCATGTAGTCCTGATCTTAAACCGCTTGATTATGATTAATGCTCAGTCTTAGAGGGTATGGCATGCTCTACAAGCCATGATAATTTGGAGCCCCTAATGTAATTCTTAAGATAGGCAGTGAAGAATTTTCCCATGGAGAGAGAGCCTGTTTCTATTGATAACTGGCCTCAACGTTCTAAGAACTGTATTAAAGCCCAAGGGAGATCGTTTTGAATGAGTTTCATATATTTTTGTATGTGTGGCATACATGTGGCAAGTGCGAAATAATGAATAAATGTAATATATCGACAGAACCTAGTACGACTATTTATGTGACTTTACATTTTTTATATTGGTGCTATTCCTTGTAAATATTTCAGTTCCACCCAAAATGCATTGCATGTTGATGTCATCAAAACAATTCATCATAACTATTTGTTTATATTAAAACCTTTTTAATTTTAAGATTTTTAATAATAGTGAGCACATACCTAACATACCTCAGTAAATTTCTTCTCCTGGCTCTGTTCTCCCGCGCCAATTCTGGCGTGTCTTTTCTCTCCACTTGCTCTCTGCTGTCATGCGTGGACCGTTTAGTTTCCTCTTGTTTTTGCTTAATTTTTTGCAACACTCGACTCGATGTGCGTCGAGGTGCTAATTCTAACAACCTTAAACATAAGAATATTTTTTATTATAATAGAGAAGAATATTGCGTAAAGTAAGCTTGACAACTTTTTAAATACAAATTTATTATATTCGTGCACCAATGCACTTACGATTATATAGGTATATACCGACAATGCACTCTATTAAGTACACAATACGTATGTTTAAATTATACAACCGATTACAGTAACAGCCAACGGACCGGAGATTATTCGCTCGTAATAGTCAGACTAAAGAGTAAAATGTGTACATAATGTGACTATTTTTGTAATTTATCAATTACTATACTGTTTAGACTGTTGTTTTTAGACTTTTTTTATAAAACACGAGTTATGATCACGTCTATGTGGTGATATTTTATTCATATGAATCTTTAATGATCGTATTGATTAATTTATTGTGTTTCATAGGCGTCAGAAATTAAAGATTAAATTTGAGTGTTAGTAATGGTTGATAAGGCTCAAATTGCATGTTTAGTCAGCACATAGCATGTATATCACATCTAGTCTTGGTTTCTGCAAGCTTCAGATGTCCTAGCCCTCCAAAATACAATTTTTCACAATTTTATTAATGGTGTTATAATATTGACATTAAAATATTTTATTTTAGTTGGGAGTTATTGCCACGTTTATACTTAATGGTGATACCGTAACGGAAAACAATCATGGAAGCCTTTACTAACACATGTGAATTGTAGCTTTCAATTCATAGTAAATGTGTTAAAATAATGATTTTGTTGAAAATTTAGAGCACAGCTTATACACTTGTTGTACCACAGATATTATGGACCTACGAGACTGAATAGTTTTTTTATATTTATTTCAGGTACAATATCCTTCAATTTACAAAAAAAAATACTATAAAAAAAGTAAAAGCTAATTAAGGTATCAACGACATCCTTATCGACAGCTGCGAAATTATACATGTATGCACTTAGGGGGCAAACGGATGAGCAGGCAAACGGATGAGTAACTACCGCCGCCCATAGACGCCTGGAGGCACAAGTGCAAATGGCACCCTTTGAGTACCAATTACCATACTCTGCCCCCCTCCCCGCCCCTATCTCAAAAGCAGGGGGGAGGAATGGTTTATTACAACAACAGCCTTTAATAGTCCACTGCTGGACATTAGCCTCTCCTTAGAAAGGAGGTTTTGGCCTACTATACCAAGCTGGCCAGACGGGTTGGTATAGGGTTTGTGTTAAGTTTTCCTTCTCTCTGCAGTGCTGTTGTTCCGCGTAGTTTTCTCCCTTATTAGGCTCTTACGACACCTACGGGATTAATAGTGGTGGTGACATTCTGTATTCCTAATCCGTCACCATACGGAGGAATGGTTTACTCTCACGTAACCCCATAGATGCAAAATACCGCCCGCGAGTATCTCGGTTATCGCGGTAAAAAGTAGTTCCATTGGTGAAAGAATTTTTAAATAGGTTGTGATTTAGGCGTGAAAGCGTAACAAACAAACAAACTCACTTTCACATTTGGAAGTATGGATGTCATAATTTTATATTCATAACTGTCTACAAGTGATATAATATTATTCATATAACCATGTTGAGACCATAACCATATAATCCATAGCATGCCTTGTATATTATATATATTTAGGAGCAAATAATAGCCCATAATAGGTTACCAACTGCATGTATATTACATACAAACATTCACATAAACATTCGCACTTATATATTGTGCTATTTATGTACTTTGCCAAGCTATATGTTACAAAAGTCTTTAAGCTAATGTTTGAGTGCATTAAAGAATTTCATTAATTCTGGTATTCTATATAAATATATTCAAAAGAGACACACAGAATAAATATCAAATATATTTTATTAGTAATTCCCACACACTGTTTTAATTCAGTTTCAAAACACACAAATAAACAAAAGAATTTAACTTGTAATGGACTTTTAGAGGAATTAGTAAAAACATATTACTTTATGCAGCAGGCTCATAATTCCCTTTTCCCAATATAACATGAAATTTAAAAAATATCGCTTTTTTGCATTTATGATAAAGCTCAGCTGAAGAGATTCGATTTATTGTAAAGAGCACAACTAGCACACTCCCACAAAATTTACGCAAGCAAACTTTATAGCATAACTGAGCATTGCATCAACAAATGACACCTTGAATTTCGCTCATTTTTAAGAGAAAAATGTTTAATAAAGGATAAACTATCGCTCTAATCACATGATAGAATACCATGAATTAAAATATAGTGATTGAAAAAACCGACTCATCTCAATGATAGTTTGATATGAAAATTGACCAAAAGACCTAATGGCTTTCTATATGAAGTTTGAAAATTCATGTAGATACTATAAATTAAGAGGACTTCAAGGTGACTTGAAGGACTTAAAGCACTATCATGACGATTTAAAAAGTATATCAAGTTATTATAAAACAGTTTACAACAACTTTAAAACTGGACCCAATGCCAAAATCTAGTAATTATGCCTGTAAAATACAAGCTTGGCTCTTTATAAAACTTCTGGGTATAAGATGTATTTTTTTATATAAACTGGATGTAACTCTGTGACAGCCCATGTTAAATAATTATTTCATCATCATCATCAGCCTATCGCAGTCCACTGCTGGACATAGGCCTCTCCCACTGCACTCCACTTAGTTCGATTTTGGGCTTCTCGCATCCATAATAAATAATAATTATACAGATAACTAAAATTTGTGTCTATATTTGCCTAATTATACACACAACAAAATTAAAACAACTATTATTGTAAATATAACTGTTACGGATAATACTTATCATCTACAATGTACTAAAATAGTCCATAGGGTCAATTCTATGGATGCCCACTGTATCGATCTAGTGCAGCCAAAGCAGACTGACTGCTATATAGCTGAATATAAAATGTGTTGTCTTGCTATTAACCAACCACAGGCCACTTTTATTTAACCAGGTGTGGTTGGACAAAAGTGGCGTGTTGCTGTGGTGGTTAGTGACCCAGACTCTGGTTCAATTCCCATCAATTCAATGAATGATGAGCATGATCATTAGTTATGTGTCTGGGTGTAATTTATTTATAATATGTATGTAATTTAGAAATGTGTATTAGCAGTCTAAGATAGTACAGACTGCCTAGTTTGTGATCAGACTACCGTTGTGAGGTGTGTGAAGTTATCTGTAACATGTTTATCAACACTATTATTTCTATGATCTCCCACATGTATAATCTATATAGTACACCCAGTGGTTCCAGAAATTATTCAGTGCTTATAAGTAAAAAAAAACAGGATTATTAGTAATTAACTGTACCCTAACACCTCTACTGTGGCACATTGTGGTTGCATTGATGAGTGTCAATGTTTTTGAGTTTTTGAAGAGTATGTAGGCTAACTTAGGATTCATATTTATAGATTCTCTTTTTTTTTCAAGAAATTTATATGAAGTGACTACACACACAAAGTGACTATCAAGTCAAAAATGAAACATTAAGATGCATATATGAAATTCAAGTCTTAGGAAGAATCTAATGCCTTGTGCATTAGATTCTTCCTAGATAGCAATAGGTAAATGATAAAATATTTTGTTAATTATTAATTTTATTTTAAGGGCCTGTAATACTTTGTTTCTCTGTCCTAAAATTTAATAATATTAGCTATCATATTTACAAGAAAATGATAAATTTACTTATGTGTACAACAAATATTTATGAGTTTGATTCACACAGCTTTTGACTTAAATTTAAACAGTTTTTAATTTTGTAGAATTCAATACATATACTAAATACAAGTCAAGTAAATATTTTAAGAATTACCTTTTGCGCTGCAATCGTTCCTTCTCTTGAAAAAGCCTAGGTATTTCAGGCAAAAAGTTTTGCGAAAGTGAACGATAGAGCTCTTTCTCAACTTTACTAGTAGCCTTTCTGAATTTCTCTGTCAGGTGGGTCCAGTCTTCTTCAGTAAAGCAAACCACTTGCCAAACCCTTTCTGTATCATCATCATCGAGCCAATCATCACCGTAAAACCAGCCTCGCTTTCTACTTTCCTTGTTTTTTTTCTTTTTATTCTTCCCTTTTGGCTTCTTAACTACATCTTCTCGGTATAATCTTGTACCATAAAAATACCAGTAGGCAGAGTAGTTATCATCAAAACTGAAATTAAAGCAAATTCTTAAATACTTTAACTGTGCAATAAAATATATTTCTATAAAAACATATCATATTCATAATACATAGATTGAATACACAACATGAATGAAATACTTATTGACAAATTGAACTTACCCAAGAGGTTCAACTCTTAAACTTTCAGCTTCAAGGTTTTTAAATAAATCAAAAACATCTTCAGCATCAAGACGAAATTCACACAGGGCATACAAAATCTCAACTTTTGTTCGAAGTGGTAAAAACTGAAAATCTATATCAGTATTGAAAGGGTTACATCTGCTTGATTTCTGGCATTTTCTTCTAAACAATCTCCTCAAGTACATCTGTAAATATACATAAGTCAGCATCTGTGTGCAGAGCTAAATATGTTGTTATACATTTATCAAATATAACAATACCTGATAGTTAAAGGCTGAGATGTCATTGTTGCCCAAACAACCATTTAACAGACGTACTATTAGTTCAGTCAGGAGGGAACTAGCCGATTCTTCCGTGCCATCGGTCAATAGAGCCTCCTCTAGTTCCTTTAAATCATTACAGACAAATATTAATTCACTCGAAAGGAACAGCAACCATTTTTTCATTGGAATCTGTAGCTACTTACTTCAATGTCAAAATCCAGAAGGTTGAATGCAGTTCTGAATAAAGAACAAAAGTACGCGATGCTGGGCACTTCCCACCATGACTGAATATCTAGAAACCGTGAGAAATTCATTCAGACATCACTTTCAGGACAACCGTCTTCGAGAAAATCGCGCAACTGATTTCTTGTCTCACTGAACCCACCTAAAATACCAATAAAAGATGGAAACATAACCTAAAATCGGTTCGTTTTCACTATCAGTCTTTCTAATTATACAGAAGCTTCATTTTTATATCTATAGCAAGTTTTTAAATCATTTACTCTTCAATACAATACTCTACATGAAGTAATAAGCAAAAGATGCGAATATGCGTTGTGTGTATCGAGACACAAACGCCATAACAGTTTACAAGTTGTACAAGTGAATCACTCTTAAATAACAGATTTTATTGTCATATCAAAACAGTATAGAATAAACAATCAATATTTTATTTACCTTGCATTTTTGTAAGGTTAATTTCAATTTCATATGCTTAAATTACATCACGCAATGATTAAATAAAACAAAAATGTTTTCAATTTGAACGGAAGATTGCTTTTTTACTCTTTGATTTTCTTCGATTCAATATCGGGATTGCTGTGGTCCAGCGCCCAGAACAAAGGAGATAAAAAAACTTCGTATGATTTGTTTTCAGTTACACTTATTTAATGCGCTTTGGTAATCTTGAGTGACTGAATAATTTTAAATAATTGATATTTTTCATTTTATTATAAGGCTTGTGATTAAGAAAACATGTAAATCTACTTTTACTGCCACTATTTCAGTTTCAGTCAATTTTCATATTAGACAAAAAATTACACTTTGTCACTAAAAACGTATATGCCTAGTATCGTAAAAAACCTTTTAAAATATAATAAACAATGAAACTATTTACGTTGTACATCTGAAAAGTACAAATATTTTTTGTACTACTTTGGTTCTTTATGGTTAGGATAATATACTAAAGGGACCCAAGACCAACCCGAATGCGCACTTTCGCACAGATTTAAGTACATTATTTTTAAGTATCTCTTAAAGTATAGCCTAAGGAAGCCGTGTAGATTTATTTTTTGGGACTTGATTCCAAAATAGTGTTTTTATCTAGTTAAATAAAAACATAATTAGACATTATTATATAATAAAATTAAAATACCTTTAATTTTACAAGGAATATGTTTGTACTTATGTAGGTATTTTATTCTTTGATTTTTTTCTGAAAAACTGAAAATAGCATCAAATTCCGTTACGTGATTTAGAGGAAGCAGCAGACACTTATAAATCACACACATAAATCGACGTTAAGCTACTCTGGTTTATGGCTAATATGTTATGATTGAGCAATTCAGTGACATGACTAGAGTGACAAACTTTTTTTTGTTAACGGGTTGGAAGTTCCTCATTCAGTATTTCGCCCATTTGGGCAAAAAGGTCTGTCTGTCGCTCCAGTGTTCCTCTGCTTGCTAATGGCCAGGGGAGCGAGAATCACAATAGCATTATAGCACCGCCCCCGACAGGCATTGACTCGTCTCACCCAAGGTAGGTCTCATCTCGTTGCAACCATCACCATTTGGTCGCAGTCCTCTAGAAGCTCACTCTGCCTCTCGGGCCTTTAGTTTTATTTAACATTAGTATCTCTATTTCGGGTAATTTTGTAGGATTTGAATATTCCAGTAATGAATGGTTAATTCGTTTTTATTTAATAGATGTTATACATTTAATAAAATTGATAGAAAAAAAATTCAAGTAATATTTAGCTGCTGCTCCCAGTTTTTGTAAAATTAATTACTATACTGTTTAGATAAACATGGGTATAATTATTTAAACATTACTTATATAGGCAATAATCATTTGAAACAAAACCATTATAGGTTAAAAATTATCGTTTTATGCATCTTTGTCTAGTTTACTTTTTTTTGGTGGACTTCAACCATAAATATGAAAATTCTATCATGAAAGCGTCGATCATCGATACATGTTTTGTCCCTGTCATTTTGCTCTTTGCTCTTTCTTGCTTGAGTGTCTTGAATGTGACATGGCGTCCATCAAGATATATCACGGCCTTCTGTAGAACTGTTTTTAATGACAGTGCTTTCATTTTGAATTTTATTACTGAGGCCGTAATAAATCGTACATTTGCATTGATGGTAATGCATGCAAGGAAACCTCAGCGAATAAGTGATGGGTATGATATGATTTTGAATGCTTCGGCTTTACAGCCTTTAGATGGCGGTCGCCGAATTTAGTTTTGCTTTAATTTAGGTGAATATAGTTAATATTTTTATCTCGTTTCAGGTACTTTGAGAAGCATCAGTCCCATCCATATCAGGTAAGAACAAATCAACTTGATTCCATTCGTGGTTAGTAATGGAACGATTGTTCAATGATTGTGGCAAAACCTTGTCAAAATTGTAGGTACTCTACGTAATGTGTTGAACGGTTCCCGACTCTTCTTTTCCTGTTTTTTAGACATGACACCTTAGCCATGAACACTGATAATACATTAATGTTATCATCGTAAGATGGAACTGAAATTTCAGATTATTACTCTAAATCAACTAATTCAATTATTGTACTCAACTATACGAGAATATTTAATCCCTAAATGTATCAAAGAGTTATATTATTGTGTACACAACTGTACCGCAACGATTAGTATTTCGTCGATTCTATTATTGCATAGAATATTTTTATATGCCTGTGTAGTTTTTTTTGTGATTACCAATACTTACCAAAATCCAGTTTATATTTTATAAAACTTGCAAAAAAGATACCTTAAAAGTTGTTCATTACCACATATTTGTTTAAATTGTAATAATTATTTCGTGCATTCTTATAAACAGAAATACAATTCAAAGAGTGAAAGAAGAGCAGCAAATGACTATGTCTCTTCTGAAACCCGATACACTCCTCTCCGATCCCCTAATGGCAATGTATCACATGGCCATGGTACCCATTCAAGTCAATCCAGCCATGGACACCACCACTACAGTCATGTGGCAGATGACAGAGGATACCCCACATCCAGAAATGCCTATATACAAAAGGGTTCTGACAAGGAGAGAGACAGAGACTATAAAACCTCTAGAACTAAGTATACAGGTATGACAATTTTTATTACTATGATAAATTAATAATAGATTAAGCTACTGAACTCTATAGGCCTATACAGAAATATTGGATATTCCTGTATTTAGGTGTACCTGTTAACAACAGTTTCAGATACATATGAAATTTGAACCAGTGTCATGTGGCACAGGTTCAAATTATTATCTCTTTGGGAATGTGAGCTATTAAAGCTTTATTTAACATTCATATATAATTTGAAATAAAATCCTGAAAATTATTGTTATTCTCCCGTTTGCAATTATTTGACATTGTTTTTTTTTTAAGTTATGAATTAATTAAATACTAAAATATCACAAGTAAATATTTTACTTTTGATCTTCAAAAGAAAAGTATAACAATTAAACCAAATCTTTGGAATACCTTATTATTTAGAATATCTATGAACACTTACAATATACCCCAAAAAAGATAACCAGTTTATTATTTATAACAATTTCTTCACACAGAAGTTACATAAATATTGTACTGTTAAAGAGTTTTTAATCTACATTTATTAATAGTTATAGTTATCTATTTGAGCTGAAACTATTTTTTTTTTAGTAATTTTACCCTTTATTACTAGATTAACAACTAACAAAATGAATAGTTATAAAATATATATTTCACATTGAGTTATAATTAGCAGTTGCGATTGTTTTAGTAATTATAATTTGCAATAAGTATGATAGCATGTCGCGAAATTGCTTGCAATATAAATTTATTTCAGAAGGCTGTTTCATTATTCTTATGTGTTATTCCAGATAGTGTCAGATCACCAAAAGAACGAAGCAAAGATAGTGAAAGAGAAAGGAGTAATCATGAGCGAAATGAACTTGATAAGAAAAGTAGGCCTAGTGGCATGAACATTAGTGTTAGTAGGGGTAGTAAATATGACAAGAGAAGTGCGCCCTCAGCGAGCGTTTCCTCGGGTCGTGAATGGTCAGAACATATTAGTTCATCTGGGAAGAAGTATTATTATAACTGTATCAGTGAAGTGTCACAGTGGGAAAAACCCAGAGAATGGGATTCCAGAAGAACGTCATCCAAAGATTCAACTTATTCATCCAGAAGCAGTAAGTATTAAATTTAATATTTTCTTATTATATGTACATTGTTATTGAGGAGCAGTATTCACAAGCTCTGCTCCCTTATTTAACTGTTATCCTGCATTATTGGCGCTTCCTATTAGATAATCAGTCTGCCAACTACCAGTACTTTGAATAAGTACACACAATTCCCCTATGTATGGATGTAGTCTTTCTTCATTATATTATTGACAATCTAGTTATTTCTGCAGATGGTGATTGTCTGTTAGCATGTCTATGTACCTATTCTGTGAAGTGGTTGTAGTTAGTGCTGTTAGTTTAAAACTAAATTGCCACTTTCAGCTTTTGTTTAGGAATGTCCTATTATTATTATAAACAGGAAAGTTTGTGAGGATGAATGTATGGATGTTTGTTACTTAATCATATCAATAGGAATGAACTTGATACATTTTTTCATAGACCTTTAATTGACAATATCACCAATAATGTGCTGAAGATAAGTTAGTTTTTTAAAATGTGTTTAGAATTTTATGTGTAATTTTATGGTATAAATTTAGTTTGTGTTGAAATGAATACATTAATCAATTTCTTTTTATAAATTTGGTCTGAGTTTTCTGGGAATTAGGAAACAATTAACAATGTACATAATTATTAGTAATATCATTAAAACCCTATAAGTGTTATTTTAATGCTATATGGTAAATGTTACTGGTGACACAGTTACACACACTTATAAAAAACATTAGAAATATGTACTGTGTTGCTGTTTATTTACCTAAATAAATAAAAAGTGCACCCCTAGTGATCAACAAGAATATAATATATTAGGCCTACCATAACACATATAAATATAGCATATTAAAATAATTACCGCTTGTAGAAAATACTGTCTGTCTGTTTTTTCTTTAAAGTTAATGTATTCTATATTACCTATGTCCATATAAGTTACTTACAAATCAATCCAGAACTTACAAAGTTAAATGTATTGTGTTTAATTTTGATATTTCAAAATTAAAAATACAGTCCTCTACCAGCAGTAACCTACTTTGTAAAATGGGAGAGGAGCAAATAATATTATACTTTTTCCAGTGTTAGTTACCCATAGATTTATTTTTGCTTGAAACTAATACAGGTGTGGGAATCTCTATCTTAGGTGGTTTAGAAATGTGTGCTCCCATATTAAAGAAGAAGAATAATGATTTTTCCAATTATTATATTTTCCATGACTTCAAAAAACAAATTCTGTTACACTGTTGCATGCCATTGGTCATAGGACCCAGACCTTAATATAAAAGTAATATATTCGGACATCTGACACACAAGGCCATCTAAATAATAAATTAGTTTCAAATTAAGCAGAGAGTGTGCTATGAAAGCTAGATTGACTGATAGAATACTCATAATTTTTTTTTGTATATCACATACATATTATATAAATATATTACATACATATAGACTCCGAAACAAATATTTGCAGATCATACCAACATTTAGTCCAATGGCAATCGAACCCAAGACCTCAGCGCAGCAGTTGCATATGCTACCACTGCACCAGCAAGGCAGTCAATGGCATTGCATCTAGTCTATCTATCCATTTGTTCTAACATACTTTTTTAAGTCATGAGTCCACCTTACTGGGGAGTGTTTTACATTGCATTTACCAGCATTTAGCAGTAATCACTCTAGGACCCTTTTGCTTCAACAGCCATTGGTGCTGCTGCCAATCTCTTGCACTTCAACATATTTATTCTGTGTGATGTTACAGTAGCACACTTAATGCCAAAAGCAATATATGTGTCTCTTTAGTATAATGTACTATATATATATATATAAGTTACATGCATTAAAAAGTAAATGGAAGGGTTTTATGTGAAGAATAGGATTGAGTAAAAATGAACATAAATACACACACACCTACATGTATATATAAATTACTAGACTATATTTATTTCTGTGTCAGGTGAAACAAACAAACTATTTATTTGAAGAATTTCTAAGTATATCATATTTCCATAGTCCAGTATGCAACTTTTTGTTTGTGTACTAGACTCAATAATTTTCAACACATCTCTGCACCACGAAAGTTACTATTCGTATGTCAGAACAGGTGAACAGTGGCCTTAAATTAAACGCTAAAAAAGTGACTGTCGAAAAACGACATTTAAGAAGTTATTAGCACCTCACCGCCAATTTGTCTAACTGACATCCAATGATTAGTCATAAGAAGACCAGAGGAGTACTGTTACAATGAATATCTTATCTTTTGTTATTTTGGGTCAATCACACAATACATTACAATACACCAGTGACACCTAAGGAGACACAGACAAAATGTTTTTTGTATTTGTGTATCTTTTGGGTGAAATGTATATTGAACAATTTCAAAACTTTTATCCTGTCAAATCTATTGTCCTTTGAATTTCTAAAAACTATCTACAAAATACTGACACAATAAAATTTAAATTGCTAAGTGGCATCATCAACAAATCTTCATCTTCATTTACAGTAATGTGGGTCTCATAATACAGTCAGTCTTCTATACTGCCTTCAATAGTCCACCGCTGGACATAAGCCTCTCCTTAGAAAGGAGGTCTATACTGTGTGTCTGTGTTTTGAATAATGAAGTAGCTTTTTCCAGCAAATATTGTTTTCTATGCCATTTTTTAGCATAATGCTTCTTCTTTAATAACCTTTATTGTTGACAGATGACATTACTGATAAGTTTTGGTATATGTTATTGCCTATATGTAAAAGTTATATCTTATCATTTCCAACATAGAAAGTCAATTCAATACTTTTTTAGAAAGATGTCTACAAAAAAATATTGGTGAATTGTTTTTGAAAGCAACAAAGTTCAGTATAGAATTGGTAATGACTACTTGAGTAGACATAGGTAAACCACACTAGTCCACTACTGACTATTGATAACTGTCCTAGCAGTTGTTTGTTTTGGCCTAAAGGCAATTACATGCCGCAATTATCTCGCTCAATTCAGTCCCGTAGTACACCTGACTCCTCAAAGTGAATTTTCTTAGTCTTATTGTCATGTTACCAATAAAAACCCACTCATGAAAATGCAATAGTTTCTCAGATATGAATATTCACAAATTTACATTTTAATTTGTCTATTAATACTGGTTTATTTCTTATATTTTAAACTTTCCGGGCTTATCTCGCTTTAAATTTATTTTTGTATTCTGAGGCCTATGTTCTGCAATTGACTGCGATAGACTGATGATGAGGATGATGATGATTTCGAGGAAATTGTATTTTCTTTCAGATAAGAAGAGGGTACTTTCCAATCTCAAAAAATATACTACTTCCTTGCCTCCTTTTTCATTGTATACAAAGTTGTATATTCATTGTCGAGTAATTAAGCATTAAGCATTTATATAAAATATATATTAAAATTAGTGTTATTGATGTCATGGGTATCAATAAATAATATTCGAAAGTAGTAATTAAATATAAAAAAGTAGTTCAGAAAATAAATAACCGACATTAAAAATGAAGGGTCTGATAACCACGTTTTTCGACAAGTACAATATTAATATTATTAGAACTGCAAAAATATTTACATACGTGTACATTTCGCATTGCTCATGAAGCCTCTTTTCGGGATCAATGCAAGGTTTGTTTCTTGCTCTGATGGTAGGTGTTTAGCATATTAATTCTAATAAAATTATACTTCTCGAATCAATATTTATTTTGATCATAGGTCGGAAAGGGTAGTCATATTTTACGAAACGTATAATATATATAAATTTCGTTTGAGTACGAATAGTCAGAGGAACTGCCAGAGGAATTATTCACGAACATTCAATATTCAAAAACTGAGTGAAAGCAATACTACGTAACCAACTAACCCTCCCCCCTCCCCCCTCCCCTTTTCCCTGATTCTGAGGGAGGGATTCAAATGGCGGCAAGACACTTGTGACTCTTTGGTGTTCATGAGTGGCGGAAATGATTACATTTACCATGAGATAACCTTATACCTGTACATCCTCCTCGTTTATCCTCGTAAACCGTAACAAACTAACTTTAAAATGGGCTACCGTAATATTTACTCGTATACCACTCTGTCAAGAAAGTACTGGGAATAGATCAATAATACACAAAATGTTTGTTATTCATTCAAATTTTATTTTATCACCTTCAAAGCATGCTCCTTCACAAACGATACACTTACGCCAACGAATAATCAAATCATCAAAACATTTTTACACGCTTTATATTAGCTTCACTTGTATGTTTGTAACGGACTCCTTTGGGCGTGATTTTGACTGACTTTAAACGGTCAGAATTCGTTCAAACTTTGTAGATATATCGAGGACCGATGACAATACACTAATAAATAAAAAGATATAGTTATAAAAAACTAAAAAACACGCTTTCTACTATTGACAACGTGGGGTGCTTTTTACTATTGACAACAGGCACCCAACGCTTTTTTTTCAAATTTATTTTCTATTTTTTAGTTTGGTTTTCTATAGTTTTTTTTTTTTAAACGCTGTTTCCGGAATTGAGTTCAGTTCTCGCCGCGAATTCTCCTTTATGTCTTCTACCGATTGAAAACGGGTGCTACGAAGTGATAATTTGAGTTTAGGAAAAAGAAAGAAGTCTGCTAGAGCCATATCAGGTGAATATGGTGGCTCGATGGTATTTGTTGTGTTTGGTAAAAAATTCGTTTACAATGATGGAATTGTGCGAAGGCACAGGTATCGTGGTGCAAAATCAAAGAATTTTCTTTCCACAATCCACAATCTGGCCTTTTTCTCTTTGTTCGATGTTTTTGTCCATTATAAAATTCGCAATACACACTAGATATGATATAACTAAAAACAGCACTTTATTTAATATAAATAACAGGTCCAACTCAAACTCCGCGCCATAATGGAAAACAGTTGTGCCAATATAACAACAAAAAAAAAAACAAAAATTTGAATTTGGAACCATAAACAAATCATCCATTCCGGATACTTTTTTGACTGAATCTACAATATATAATAGTACAAAAGTTTTACCAA